CTTAAAGCCAGCAACATGGACAAGTATAAACTGAAGCAAAGTGGGACAATGACACAGCTCCATATGAGGACCAACTGAAACAAATTATGTTTAAAGCTTAAAACTCTAATGTTTGACAAAAWCCTTACAGTTCTGAATGACTGTGATGGGGAAAAAAAGAAAAAAAAGATGGCTCCAAATAAAAACAAAACATTGGCAACTGTACAGGGCAGATATGCTCAGCATTACAATGACCCCTAATAATAAAAAATAAAAATAAAAACTAAAACTCAGTAAGTGAAATACAGATGGCCTTCTGTGGGTTTGTCACATGTGCCATGAATAAAAGAACAAAGTACAAAATGTGCTGACATTAAAACCGTCTTTTGAAAAAAAAAGAAAAAAAAGAAAACCCTGTACTTCCTGTTTCTGCTGCAGCAGCAGGACAAAACTAGGTCACTGTTTCTTCAACGACAAACCTCTGACACACACATCCAGAATTATTAAACAAAGCAGAAAGGAAAAGTATGAAAATAAACCAGTGATTTGTAGAAATAAAACTTACTTTCAACCCTTATACATGTAATGCAGTATATATTCTCTACAAAATGTAACAATACTTATTAAATTTAACCATAAAATCAAGAGACTGACGATTGTTGATTGATGAAATAAATGAATAAAAAAGTTGATTTTACAAGCAATGTAGTAAAATCTTTTGGGTGATTTGCAATTCTGCTGTGTGTACAAGCATAACACTGGCGTAAGAACACAATAACTGTGGTACAGTATGTACAGTAGCTTATTCCAAATAAATTGAAATATTAACTCACCTGCTGTCCTTGGGTCAATATGAGGCCTCATATTTAGTCCAAGATGTCATTTTGACCCAAAGGCAGCTGGAGGATGAATTTGACCCTTTGTAGTATTTAAATAACTTTTTTTTCTAGCAAAACATTTGTGTGAATTGAAATATTTATTTAAACAGGGTTTGTTATTGTCAGGCAGAACATCAGTGACTTTCGCATCCTAAAAAAAAAAATCCACAGCTGCTGTGTTCAGAGAAATGATGCCAGAAGACAGAGGGGGGTCAGGTTTCGCTGATCTCTCCAGACCTAGTCCACATCCAGATGGTTTACTGTAACACTGCACTGACGACATTCCTGTCAGAGCTGCTTATTCAGAGCTTTTCTGAAACGTGCATTTCATTCAGTTTCAAATCTAATTTAAAATGCAAATGTTGCCCGTTTAAACCTTTTAAATTGGGGATATATGAAATGGATTTTTGTATAAAAGGGCCCATATGTCTTTGTTCAATGTTACCAGAATCTAAAATTTAAATCTATTTAGTCTTCATTTTAGTTGACAGGGTTATTAAAAAGCAGGTTATATGCCATGTACACCAAGTCCATACATGGCATATAACATCAAAGACTTTCTAAAACTGAGAAAAAAGGTGAGAGTTTTTAATGAAGAATCAGTTTTACATGAAATGACTGTCTTTAAATGAGTGATAAAAAGGGGGTTGGTTGAAATGGTATTGATTGAGACAGCTTTCCTCGCCATCAAAGTCAGGAGCAGTCTGACTCGTTGACCACATGTGAACCTCAGGTGCTGCTTTTAGTCTGGCAGACCAGGACAAAAAAAAAAATTAAATAAATAAATAACACAATGCTAAGCCCCGCAGAGGAACACAAACACTGCYTTTACATTTACTGATAATGGGTTGCCATGCCGTCTCAACCCACAAGGCCACTAAGCACATAGCATTTGTGCTATTTTGAGTTTCACAAATGATCTGCGTCATAGCCGGTCACAAAGCAACGAGAAGATGTTGAATTTTAACACTTTGAACGGATGTAACAACAAACTTTTCAATAGCAAAGGAAGTCTGTGAAATAAAACCTGACAGCCTTGCAAATGTCAGAAGGTTCAGCTCCCACAGACTCATGCAAGGATACAAATCAATCAATCAATCAATCAATCAATCAATCAATCAATCAATCAATCAATCAATCAATCAATCAATCAATCAATCAATCAATAAATGTGAGGTTCATCTTTTCTTGTGGGTGGTCTAATGGGTGGGCATCAAGGTTAATATTGAATGTCGCCAACACACTGCTCTAGAGCAGGAGGTGTGACATTTAAACGTTAAATAATCACTCACTCTGAATTGCAATGAAATTCTGTCAATGTTCAACACACTCACGACTCGTCAACATATCAGTCACCACACTCCACCCAGAACCCCAATACTAGTGATGTACGGATAAATACTAAAATATCAAAGCCTTTTTTTTTTTACTGAAGTATCAATACAACTGATACCAGAACTTTATACTCTAAAATCAATTCCAGAATCAAAATATCAATACTTTAATACTTAAGTCATTTCAGGYGATGTATATCATTAACAGAAACACAGTGGAAAGTAATGAAATTTGAAATACACTACTTTTTTTTTTAGATTTACCAGACACATTAGGTGTATTTGCACAAACYATGAGAATTGTATCAGCATCACTGATGCCAGCCTGAGTTTAACTCTGTATCAGAGTTCGARAGGAAATTGGTGGTGTTGAACGCCACTACCCAACGCACTGCAACCATAGTGATAAACCAGCAAAACCTCACTATGGAGGGTTKTTTGCATGTTTTCCACAATAAGACTCTCATGTTGAGGAACTCACCCACATTCTGGCTGAAGTTTTACATTTAGCAGCAAGCTGAAAAATTTAATGTTAAATGCTTTATAGCAACTGCAACAGATACTGTATGTAAGCAAGTATTTTTAACTAATTGCTTTAGTTATTTTTTAAACCTTTGATTCAGTTTTATTTCTAATAACAAAACATTTAGATCTAATTTTTTACCATCCCTGACTTTTACATGTGTAAGATGCATATGTAATTTAAAGTGTATCTTACCCCCCTGTGAAAAGATAACTCCGCCCCAAGGCGAAATTTGAAAAATGCATCAAAGTGGGTAGGGGAGGGGGTGTGGGTAGGGGAGGGGGTGTTAGAGAGCGGATGTGTGTCCAGGACGAGAGAACGTGACAGCTAGCATTAGCATGATGCTACATGGAGAGTGGCCACAGTATCGCAGATAGTTACATCTCTGAACGGTCTGAGGTGGAGGATTTTCACCCCCCTCCTCACCAGAGGCAGAGAGAGACTTGATCAAGTCAGCTCAGTCTGGGACTGACTCATGTTGGCTCCCTGGGTCAGGACATGAAGCTCCAGCAGCCTCGGCTGAGCTGTCCGCCTCACACCACACCAGCCTCGGACAGAGGAAGTGGAGCGCTCCGCGACAGCCTGAAATAAAAAAAAAATAAAAGCATACAGCTGCAGCTGCTCACAAGATCACTAGTTTAAATCAGGAATAAAAGTGTTGGGTCTTGTTTGACTGAAGCTTGGTCCGTTAGGGCTGCACCTGCCCCGCTGCCTTTCTGCCTTTTTTCCCTCCTCCTTTCCGCTGTGCAGGACGTACTGCTGGTGTGTGTGTGTG